GCCGACACTCTAACTGCTGAGCCAAACGACCAGGGTGCCCATGGTCATCTATTTAGACGAGAGAGTTGGTAAGATCAAACCCACTTTATTGGATACATTTCTAGCGGTGCAGTGGTGTTCCTTTCAACACGCAGGCTGACGAATCCTACACAGGGAGGAAGATTTGACACAGCAGTTTAAGGAGCAGTCATCAGCAACAACCAAGCCGGGCAGAACTGGCTTCTTCCTAAAGCAGTGAGACCCCATCTAGTCTCTCTTCACAGCTCATCCATTCTCTGGTAATCGGAGAAAGGTGTTTCCCAATTCTCCTGCCAAGGAGAACCCGCTGGAGGATGGGACCTGAAACTCCCGCACGACACAGCACGCAAACGGACCACCTGAAGGGCGGGGCGTCCTGTTCCTGCTCCCCAGCTCGCCCGACGCCCCACCTTATGGTGGGCGTTATGCAGGATGAGGGCCCTTCTGTGTTGGTTGGGAGGTGGTTGGCACCTGTCATTATCTGTGTGTCCTTGAGCAAACTATTAACCTCTCTGAACCTCAGTTGTCTCATTGGCGATGGGTTTCCAAGGGCTTCCTGGCAGTGTTTTGAGAAGTAAACGCAATCACCCAGGTGGCGTGCCAAACCCACTGCGCAGCAGTGCTCAGGAGGTTGTGTATGTGCAGGGATGCATTCAGGGCATGTTCTTAAAAGACAATAGGCCAACAGTTTTTGTTTGGGACAACGTCAATACAAAAATTCAAGTTTCTATGGCTCCTGACTCACAAGAGACACAGGCCTGCTGGAAGGCAGGGCCTGGGATAAGTCCCGTGAAACACGGTGCCCAGTTGTCACAGATCATGGACAGGGAGGGTCTCTCCAGACAGCAAGGGCTCTTTCTCCTCCATCAAAGTCAGCTGCCGAAGCCATGATCTGAAAGCAGCAGTAGGACGACGACAGAGGGCTCTGGCCGCCCAGCCGGGACGGCGTCTGGTCATGGGCAGTGCCCGTTCCTCCTGGCCTGCCAACAGGGTTCTTTGGGTAACGGTGACAACTCCTGTCAGGTGTCGGACTGATGGGAGAAGAGAACGAGGGGATCTTACCTCCTTCTGAGTCCCTGGGGCCTTTCCCTTACAGGGGACGCTTGTCGTCAGAGGGGAGGACACGGACCCTGAGGCAGGAGCTGGCTCCCAGTGCTTCCAGGGTCTGACCCGGGAGATGGCGCTTGGGATCCTGCGGATGTTGAGCCTGTGGGAATCAGCAGCGGCCCCACCTCACAGCCCGGCTCCACCCTCTGGGGCCTGTCAGAAGTGATGGGGGGGCTGGGCTGTGCAGCCCAGGGCTGTGGCTCACAGTGGCTGGTGTGTTTTTTTTTTTTTTCCCTTTATTGATTTTAGAGAGAGGAAGGGAGAGGGAGAGAGAGATAGAAACATCGATGAGAGAGAACATCGACTGGCCGCCTCCTGCATGCCCCCCACTGGGATCAGGCCCACAACCTGGGCATGTGCCCTGACCGGAATGGAACTGGCGACCTCTTGGAGCAGGGTCGATGCTCAACCACTGAGCCACAGCGGCCGGACATGGCTGGTGTCTTTAAAGTGACTCGCAGTAGTGCTGAGCATCTCCAGACCACATTTAGTAAGTCCGCATCTATACAAGAAATTCCATAAAGTGATCTGAAGAACTTTTGACGCTTCAGCGGGACCAGCTGACCAAGGAAGGATTTCCTAGGGCCGCCAGGGCAGTCTTGCACTTGCGTTTCCGGGACAGAAAGCAGCTGCCGTGCACACTCGCGTTGGTGCCGACGGACCCCAGCACAGCGGCTCTGCTGCCAGGGGGCGTTGAGATAGCCCCGCGCTGGCCCATCCTCTCGTAACCTCCACAGCTGCTGCTTAGCAGAGATGTGCTTTGGGTTCGTGGAGCCGCTGCAGAGACAGAGCCCTGGGGAGCACTCCTCGGCCAGCTGGAGAGTTCAGACCCCCCCCCCACCCGGGAGGCGGGTGTGAAACAGGCCCCGCCCCCGTCCAGCCGCCGCTCTGCCCCGTGCTTTCCGGCCGTCTCTTCGCTGCCCCACCCAGGGCTGTCGCCTGCAGCCTGTGGTCCTGCTGTGGGGGCGGGGGTCTGGCGGGCCTGGGGCACGTTCTGGTACCCAGATTCCTCTCACCCCAGGCCCCAATCTCAGGAACGGGCTCCCCGCCTAGAACCCTAGCTGCATGCCGGCTCATCCTCTGGACGCTGCAGGCCTCCTCCTCCCTTCCCCCTGAGGCACAGAAGGGGCCTGGAGCCCGACTTCGCACCCTGCCCCTGGGGAGCCACCCGCTTGCTCACTGCTTCTCTGGGTCCACCACCCAAAATCCAGCCTCCTACCCAAACGCAGGCATCCCCTGCCCTGAGGGTAGCAGCCATGAGAGGCGGATCCCTTCTCAGGCTGCCTGCCCCTCTCACCTGCCTCCCTCTCACCCGCCCCTCACCTGCCCCTCACACCTGCCCCCCTCACACCTGCCCCCGTCACACCTGCCCCTCTCACCTGCCCCTCTCACCTGCCTCCCTCTCACCCGCCCCTCACCTGCCCCTCACACCTGCCCCCCTCACACCTGCCCCCGTCACACCTGCCCCTCTCACCTGCCCCTCTCACCTGCCTCCCTCTCACCTGCCCGCCCCTCACACCTGCCCCTCTCACACCTGCCCCCCTCACACCTGCCCCCTTCTCACCTGCCCCCTCCCTCGCCTGCCCCCTCTCACCTGCCCCCTCCCTCACCTGCCCCCCTCTCACCCACCCCTCACACCTGCCCCTCTCACACCTGCCCCCCTCACACCTGCCCCCTTCTCACCTGCCCCCTCCCTCACCAACCTCCTCCCTCACCTGCCCCCTCTCACCTGCCTCCTCCCTCACCTGCCCCCTCTCACCTGCCTCCTCCCTCACCTGAACCTCTCACCTGCCCCCTCTCAACTGCCCCCTCCCTCACCTGCCCCCCTCTCACCTGCTCCTCTCACCTGCCCCTCTCACCTGCCCCCTCCCTCACCTGCCCCCCTCTCACCTGCTCCTCTCACCTGCCCCCTCTCACCTGCCCCCCTCTCACCGGCTCCTCTCACCTGCCCCCCTCTCACCGGCTCCTCTCACCTGCCCCCCTCTCACCTGCCCCCTCTCACCAGCCCCTCTCACCTGCCCCCTCTCACCTGCCCCCCTCTCACCGGCTCCTCTCACCTGCCCCCCTCTCACCGGCTCCTCTCACCTGCCCCCCTCTCACCGGCTCCTCTCACCTGCCCCCTCTCACCAGCCCCTCTCACGCGCCCCTCTCACCTGCCCCATCTCACCTGCCCCCTCTCACCTGCCCCTCTCACCTGCCCCCTCCCTCACCTGTCTCCTCTCACCTGCCCCTGTCTCACCTGCCCCCTCTCACCTGCCCCCTCCCTCACCTGCCCCCCTCACCTGCCCCCTCTCACCTGTCCCCTCTCACCTGCCCCCTCTCACCTGCCCCCTCTCACCTGCCCCCTCCCTCACCTGCCCCAGGACCGATGCACTTCTCCTTGCTGGGCCCTAAGGATCCGCTTCGCTCTCAGCCCCGGGGAAGGCGCTCCGTCGGGGGCAGGAGCAGGCTTCTGCTTTGGAAGGCCAGCCGAGAGCTGTGAACACCGTGGGTGAAGCCTCCGGAACTCCGTGGCCGGGGGCCACATGAAACCTCTCTCCAGGTCTCCGTCAGCTAATCAGACGCTTCTCTGCCTCAACAGGTAGCAGACACGCTCCATCTCTCAACATGACAGACCATCTGCACTGTGGGTCTGTCCCTCCGTCCGGCCTCTGTCTGTGCCTTCGCTGCTGGGGAGGAAAAGCCCTCTGCAGCTGTCGGGTTTACGGCTCTTCTCTGCTCTTTCCTCTCTCAATGTTCACCCACTCCTGTTCTCCCACGGATTCCCTCACCCCATGTTTGCAAGATGGGAGGAGGCAGCCCTCCCCTCCCCCTTCCCTGCCCACGGAGGGCAGCCCCGGGCTTCTGGCTACCAGCTGAGAGCTCGCCCAGCCTGGGCTTGAGGGGAAGCTGCCTCTGCAGCCTCCTCACTCTGCCTCCCGTCCTGATTCGCTGGCTAACTGTGATGTGTGAGTCCTGAGGTCGGCACCTGGGCAACAGCGGGTGCTGATGCTCATTCCACGTTCTGGCCGCCTGCCGTTCTGTCCGCTGTGCCTGCCCCTCTGCCCACCCTGGCTCCACCCTGACCCCCAGCTTTCTCTCTCCCTGGGTCCACCGCAGGCTCTCTGGGACTTTGGAAGACACCCACAGTGAAGGATAGAAGTACTTCAGATCCTTGGGCGCCTGGGCTCTCCTTTGAGTGGGAGGTGCAGGGCACAGTGACTGGGGTGGCCGGGAAGGGCTGGGACACTCCGGGGGTGCAGAGGTGCTCTGTGGCCTGGGCCACTTTCTGAGAGTCACTCTGAGATCAGTGATCCCGCAGGCTCCGTTCGACACATGGAGAACACGCACCCTTCACAGGTAACAAAAGACCGTCGAGGCCCCTGCCCTCGGCTGCTCCCAGCGTGGCCCCTGGTCTCAGATCTGAAAGGCCTGACTTGGCTCAACCCCAACCCATGAGATCTCTGACCTCAGTCTGGAAGGAGCGTCTGAGCTTCCAGAAGGGCAAAGTCCCCCCTCCTCAAATCCATGTCCTGCCTTAGGCTGGTAGGAGCGAGGGGAAGGGGTGACTGCCCCTCCAGGGGTCAGCCCCTGAGGCGGGCTGCCAGCTGGTCTGTGCGACCCGAGGAGGGTGTGTGTGAGGGCAGAGGCCCCGCGGTAACCCTCACCGTGGAGAAGCCCACATGGCCTGCCCTTCGCCCGTGCCGACAGAGGCTGGGAGAAGAGACTGCGCGGGCCCAGGCCACAGGCCGTCTGTTTGGAGAGGCCCTGAGCTGGGAGGTTCCGGGACTGGATGTGCTGTTCCTCCTCACAGAGCCTCGATGGCCCCTAGGCCCCCCAAAATCCACACTCAGCGAGTTCACCCCACCCACCTCTGGCTCTGCAGCGTCTGAGCTCACAGGAGCCAGTGGAAGGGGGGCTGTGGCCCTTACACCGAGCCCCTGGTCTCCCGGGACGCTTCCAGGCCCTCGGGCTCATCCTCTCCATCCTGCTCAGCCTCTGCCTCCCACTCTGCTGTAGCACAGCTTCCCGGCAGGGGGGTGCTGGGGAGGTGAGGGAAGAGCCGGCCTTCCTGCCTCATTTCTGTCAGCTCCTTGGCACAGCAGCTGGGCGTGTTGGTCTCATAGGTATCGTGGAAGGTGTTGTAGTCCACCTCGTAGAAGCCTTTTTCCAAGGTGAGGACCGGTGTGAACCGGTGGCCCCAGAGCACCTCTGTGTCCATGTAGGAGCTCCGCGCTTGGCAGGTCATGCCTGGAGGGGAGGGCACACACGTTAGAACTGGCCACAGCCTCCACCATCCAGCTGTCCGATCATCCACCCATCTGTCCATCCACCCATCCGTCACCCAGCCATTCACCCAACCCTCCGTCTATCCACCCATCTGTACATCCACCCATCTGTCCATCTACCCATTCATCACCCAGCCATTCACCCAACCCTCCATCCATCCACCCATCTGTCCATCTACCCATCCATCACCCAACCATTCACCCAACCCTCCGTCTGTCCACCCATCTGTCCATCTACCCATCCGTCACCCAGCCATTCACCCAACCCTCCGTCTATCCACCCATCTGTCCATCCACCCATCTGTCCATCTACCCATCCATCATCCAGCCATTCATCCAACCCTCCGTCCATCCACCCATCTGGTCACTCATCAAGCATTGCTGAGCATCTGCTTTGTGCTGAGCACGACGGGGATGGAAGCTAAGTAAGTCCTTGCCCTGATGGAGCTCGAGGTGTGGTGGAGGCAGGAGATAAGAAATTAAATGCAAGGTTCTGGCACAGGTCCCTAGAGACTGGAGTGGCGTGGCCAGAGCTAGGGACGTGGTTCCTGAGAGCAGCACTGAGGTCTGGAAGACCGAGGCAAGGAAAGAGGCAGGGAGGTTTGAACGCAGATGCATTCAGAGTGAGTGGACACAGACGCTGACAGGCTTTGAGAGCACCTGGGAATTGTTTTGGGTAGACACACCAGGCAGAGGACTCCTCTCTTCCTTTCTCTCTCTTTCACACACACACATGCACACACATACACACACACACAGAAACACGCACACACACAGAGACACACGCACACACAGACACACACATGCACACACACACACACATACAGACATACACATACACACACAGACACACAGACATACATGCACACACAGACACACACATAGACACACAGACACACACACAGACACACATGCACACACAGACACACACATAGACACACAGACACACACGCACACATGCACACACGCACACACGCGGCTTGGTTTCTTGATGTGAGCTCCAAAGCCTCCGCTCCCTGTCCACTCAGCCCTGGCATGCCTGTGTTATTTTTAGGTGTTGTTCTCTCTCGAGAGTGAGGGAAGCTTTGTTTAGGGAGCAGGGAGCCTGTGCTTAGGGTAGGAAGACAGCAGTTCTGATATTGAATCTTTTGGCCAAGGCAGGGGTGAGTACGGGCTGCTTGGGAGCTGAAGGAGAAGCCCGCTGCAGCCCTGGCCTTTCTCTGCAGAGGCCTCCTACAGACCCGGCCGGGTCAAAGGCTGCTTCCCAGCAGCCTGTGCTCCATGCTGGGCAACCTCAGTGCGCCCCACACACGGCAGGCTCGTGGCCTGCTCCCCACTCTGGGGATGGGGGGGCCAGGCCTTGCCATTTAGTCCTTACTTCTCATTGCCCAACCACCAGCATCAGCAGAGTCGTGGGCGCCCAAGCTGGGTACTGATCAGCCTACAAGCAGTCAGGTCAGACGTCTGCAGGTTCTGGGCCTCAGGAGGGACAGCAGGCAGGACCTTCACGGAGCTGTGGGCCCAGCCTCTGAGGCCCTGCCTGCTCTTCTGTGCCCCGTCCTGGGTGCAGATCCCATCTGTGCCCCTGGTGGTTCTCTTCCAACGCACTGGGAAGGGCAGAAGCCAGGCTCTAGGCTTTAGAAGCTATTTCATTTAATCACCCCTCAAAGCCCCTCTGAGATTATCATCCTCATTTTTCTGACGGCTCTCAGCGGCACGCTAGGGCAGAGCTGTGCTGGTCAGTCCTAGGCCTGGATTCCCAGCCACGCTGCGCTCGCAAGTGCGGCGACCAAACCCTTAAGGTCGCTGAGATCAGGACAGGTGTGGGTGGGTGGTTTCCTTCCTTCATCTCCGGAGTCCCCCTGCCGTCCCAAGGACAGCAGCAAGGGTGTCCCAGGTCACGGCGGGGAGAAGGTCCCAGGTAGGACAAGTCAACTGCAGGTGAAGGAAGCGAGCTTGGCGGGCTCACACCCGGTCCCTCCGCCTCAGGTGGTAGTGAGGGGGTGCTACGGCAATGCCTTCCCATTTGCCCCACGTGTCTGATCTGACCCCTCATCGGCGGCCTTGGACTTGTGCTCCTTCTCCAGAAACTCAGCCTGTGTTCTGCCCTTGAGCCCAGCACCAAGGGCAGTGTGACCTGTGAGCCACAGCCCTGCTGGAGGAGGATCCAGTCTCCCGACTGTCCTCAGCCCCAGGGGCTCCCGCGGCTGCCACCATATGCTGCCTGGCCAGGCTCCAGCCCAGCAGATGGCCAGGCAGCCTGGCTGCACCAGCCCCTGGAGCCTGTTCGCCTCCCCAGCTGGGGCCCACGGGCTCCGCCCGCGAGGGTCTGTGGCTGCCCCGTCTGACTCTCCCGCCCAGACCAGCTTTCTGAACCGTGCGGAAGGCCTGTCGGGCCACCTCTGTGACAGGCCCCCACTACTGTGGGAGACAAAGCTTTCGCTCTGTAAGGAAGGCCTGGGTATGACCACACTTCCTGTCTGCGCGAAGCTGCCCGCCGCAGACTACATCTGGAAAACGGGATTGAAGCCAGCCCTGCGATGTTGTTGCAAAAATTAGAAAAATGTTCTGTGAATGAGTTGTGTACAAGTGCTCAGTCTCTCCGGGAAAAAAGAGGAGGGGCAGGTGCAGGGGCTCCTCCCTCCGGAGGTCCAGCAGTGGCGGGCATGGGGACGGGCTCCTCAGGCCTGGGGGTCCTCACACAGAGGTCTGCACGACTGAGGAATGGTGGGCACTCTCGGCTGCCGGCTGCCTGTCAGAGGAGAGCTGAGCAGGGCGGTGCCAGGCTGGCTGTGCAGGGGGCACGGCTCGGGCATGCATGGATGTGGATGCGGTTCTCTGCACAGCAGTGTGCGCTGAGCCAGAGCTGGGTCCGCTACTGGAGGGGGGCGGGCAGAAGAGCCCCTCCCACAGGTCTGGGGCATATGTCTCCTTCAAAAAGAGGAGTCCGAGACTCTGGGGATCCTGGGGTTTGAGAGATGCCGCTCACTCTGCTCTCTGCATCCAGCAATTCACACGGGAAGACACCGTCAAGCCCTGCTGCTAGGAACCAGCTCCCCTTTGTTTGACCCCGCATTTCCCGGTTGTTTGACCACACAGCTCTCTTGGGGCAGACACCTGCCCCTGGACGGGCGGAGGCAGGCGCGTAGCGGGTTGGAAACGGCTTTGCTGTCCTGCCTCAGTGTGCGACCTGCTGCAGCGCTTCTCGGACAAGTCACGTGTCTCTCTGCGCCTCCGCTGCTTAACCACAGCAGGGAAGGGGCACTGCCCCACGGGGTGTGGGAGGGCATCACACACGGAGATCGTACGTGTTCAGGTTTGGAACCACGCCTGGAGGTTGGGAGGGTTCGAGGAGCCCCGTTGTCATGGCTCGACCTTGAGCCACGGTCCCGCTCAGGTCCCGCTGCAGGGCTGGGGTGGCTGACTGCCCTCTCGGGTCTCTGCCGAACTTCCTCCCTCTGGAGTCCCAGGGCCCAAGCTGCCGAAGTGTCTTACCTGTTGCCTCCACCATCCCTTCCAGAATGACCACGATTTCAAACTCCTCTTGATCCAGCTGGGCCCGAGACATCTCCCAGAAAGGGCTCCTCTCGTTGATCTCGTGGGAGATGATGAGCGGGGACACCAGGAAGAGGCGGTCGTCGCCCGTGTCGAAGCCCACGTTGATGTCGATCTGGTTCAGGGGGATGAACTCGCCCTCCTTGGTCTGCCGGGACTTGATGAGCTTGGCGCGGATGGAGGCCTCCACGATGTGCGAGTTCCGCAGGTCCCCCACGCGGAACATGAGGCAGAGGCGCTCGTCGCGCATGGAGATGACCGCGTGGTGGGAGAACATGAGGGTTTCCGCTCTCTTCTTGGGCTGGCTGATCTTGACAAACATGCAGCCCACCATGAAGGCATTGACGATGGAGCCCAGGATGGCCTGCACCATGAGGAGGACGATGCCCTCGGGACACCGCTCGGTGATCACCCGAAAGCCGTACCCGATGGTGGTTTCCGTCTCGATGGAGAACAGGAAGGCGGACACGAAGCCGCTGAGATTTTCCACGCAAGGCACCCACTCCTTGTCGCCCACGTGGTCCAGATCGCCGCGGGTGTAGGCGATGAGCCACCAGAGGAAGCCGAAGAAGAGCCACGTGGCGGTGTAGACCATGGTGAAGACCAGCAGGTTGAAGCGCCACTTGAGGTCCACCAGCGTGGTGAAGAGGTCGCTGAGGTAGCGGTAGGTCTCCTGCACGTTGCCGTGGTGGACGTTGCACTTGCCGCTCTTCTCCATGTAGCGCTGCCGGGGCTGCTTGCCTTCCGCCAGCAGGCGGGTGCGGTCCGTGGCCACCGGCGGGTAGTCGCGAGCCTGTTTGGGGACCTTCCTGGGGTCCCGGGGAGCGACCCCGATCTCCATGTTCTGGTTCATAGCATTCCTGGAATCACCGGCCATGGCGGGGACACCTGGGTTAAAGGAGACACCATCAGTGAAGGGGACTATTCTGACCCCAGAAACGCAAGACTTCTGGCCGCCTCCACTCTGCTCTCGAAGGCCCCTCCCAGGCAGTAGGCCCGACGGTGCCATTCCCCAGGGAAGGGACCAGGTTTCCTTCTATGACTGGCTTGTATCCTTGGTGACTAGTACAGAGTCTAGCATATAATAGAGGGACGATAGTTGCTTATTGAATGAATAAATGAACAGTTGTCAGGTGCAAACTATACATGAAGTGTTTATTTATTTTCTTTATTGATTTTAGAGAGAGAGGAAGGGAGAGGGAGAGAGAGATAGAAACATCCATGAGAGAGAACATCGACTGGCTGCCCCCTGCATGCCCCGCACTGGGGATCTGGCCCACAACCCGGGCATGTGCCCTGACTGCGAATCGAACTGGTGACTTTGGTGCATGGGTCAGTGCTCAACCACTGAGCCACACCGCTGGGCTATACATGAAGTGTTTAAAGGAGTTAAAGAAATCCGGAATAATTTTAAAAATAACAATTGCAACAATTTATTAAATTCCTACCATAGTCCATGCATTGCCCAGGGACTGTCAGTTGTACCCACCACAGCCCGCCGGAGGAGGTCTGTTGCCCTCCATCATGAGCGCTGTGTTGTGTGCTTAGCGTCGTGTTTATTTACGGCAGCCTCTTCCCCCATCAGGATGTCAGCTCCACAAGGGAACAATTTGGTGTCTGTCTTATTCCCAAGACCCAGATCGTAGCCTGGCATGTTCTATGTACTCAAAAGAGCTTACTGAATAAATGGATAAATGAATACGAAAACGCCCTGACGAGGTTAAGTGACACCTGGCCCACCAGACAGGTAAGTGGCAGAGCTGATGTTTGGACTCCTGCTCGACGGCTCAAACCCGCGCTCCCTCCTGTGTCTCCCTCCTTTTATCTGCAGTCCTGGTAGCAGACAGAACGGGAGAGGCCGCCTGTGTCTGAGTCACCACGTGGTCCCTGTCGCTGCCTGAGTGGGCCGTCTGTGGCCGTCTGAGCACTTACTAATACGACAAATCGCTGCATAGACCCACTGTTAAACATCTGGTACAGAAATTCCTCGCCCTCCAAGAAATGGAGGTGGGCAAGCTATTAACACCCCAAGATTTTCAAACGGCTATACATTTATACGTGGAATTTAAAAATAAAACCAAACTCACGGATACAGAGAGCAGATCGGTGGTTGCCAGAGGCGGGCGGGTGCAGTGGGGGAGGGAGTGAGCGAAATGGGTGAAGGGTTCAAAAGGCACAGGCCTCGGTTATAAGGAAGTCCCGAGGGTGTAATGCACAGCAGGTGACTCTAGTTAACAACACTGCACTGTATTCCTGAAAGTTGCTCACAGAGTAGATCTTAAGGTAGTTTTTCACAGAAGTTATCTCATGTCACCGGATATTTTTTCGTAATTGCGTGTGAAAGAGAAGAAATCTAAATAAACTTCAGTATACTTCATTCATACATAATGAATTTAAATGAAACTTTGTGCATATCTGCTCCATATTGTATTTTATACATTTTATATATTTTAGTAATTTTTTTTGATGTGGTATACTATATAGCAACCGCCTTTTGAAACACACACTTTACACGTTCCAGTTGGATTTTTTTTTTTTTTATACCAGTGACTATTTTTTCTAAAACGTGCTCTTTTAGTTGCCCCGAAAGCCTAAAAGGTGAATCCATGTCAGGAGCTCTTTTAGAAGGACCAGAAGTGTTAGGTTCTGAGCCGCACTCATCTGAACCAGCAGACACCCATTCCCTCGCTACTTCAAGGATATAAAACAGTGTGCTGCTTTTCAAACTTCGACCCTCAGGGCGAAGAGTCACAGATACAATAATCCTATATTACCCTGGGTTTCAAAAATTGAAATAGCTAATGCAAGTGCAAACACGGGTTACCTCATGAGGGGTCAGCAATGAATATTGTGGTAAGTTCTCATCACAAGAAAAATATTTATGCTGTGTGGGGAAGCGTGTTACCTAGACTTAAGGTGATCATTTTGTAATATATACATATTTCAAATTATTGTATGGTGTGCCTAAAACTAATAGAATGTTAGATGTCAGTTATATCTCAATAATAAATAGATCAATAAATAAAAGCTGTAAAATGTTTTTGGAGAAAACACTGCCCTTGAAAGAAACCCCCAGAAACCTGCACCCCGGGTCTGTTTTCCTAATATTCCGCTCGCACCTATTTAAGGTGCTTGGCGATGGGAAGGAAGCTAGGAGAGGACGCGGGGTCTCTGCAGCAGATCAGCGGTGACACTTCTGAGCTCCCATGGTGGCCTGGGGCTCACACTTAGCCTGATGAGTTGCTCCCTCCAGAAAGTCCTGAGCCTCTGATCCTGGGAGATGTCACCTTCGAGGATACTAGCACTTAGCCCTTCTTTATCTTTATGAACAAGCTTTTCTCGCCTTCCTGGAGACTGTGTCCTTGATAGAATAACCTGGATGAATGTTCTCTAAACCTCGAGCCAGGTGCCTTGCTGACTACACAGGGCCGCTCTTGGCCACGGTGGGAAGTCAGATGATGCGGGCAGACCCTTTCCTCTGCTGCCTGTGTGGTGGCAGCAATTTCAAGACGTCACATGGAGGGTCAGAGCAAGGGCTGTTTGTCTCAGACCTCCACTGCCATTTCCCACCTGCTCCCTGACAGGACACTTACAAGATAAATGAGCATGTGTTCCGCGCTGCTTTGCGGGATCCGAGCATGCTTTTGCTCTGCCCCTAGGTAAGAGACCTTTTACTGAAAACTTGTTGGGAGATGCCCAGAAACAGTGAGACATGCTTTGAATCCAAGGCCCTGTGTGCCCCTGGGGACCTCAGATGTTGGAACCCAGGTGAAGACGGAGGGGGTGCCACTGGGGATGCCCCACGCCCTTGCTGCTGCGCGGGGCAGCCGCGGTGCCCACAAGGAGAGTCCTTGGCTGGGTGCCTGGGGAAGCACGTTCTCCTGCTCAGCTCTTCCGGGAAAACAGCTGCCTGCTGATCTTCTGCACTGCTTCCTGCTTTATTTTTAAACACACTTTCATATATTCCGTGCTGTCCTGGAAACAGAAAGGGGTTTTCTAGGACACCTGAGCTCAGATGGGGAGACTTGCGTGCCCGGCAGACAGGAGCAAGGGGTTCACTCCAGTTTGGTCCTGGGATGCCTGCTCCCAGCCGGCCGGGATTGTCCGCAGAAGCAATTCCTCGCTCTACCCAGGCGAGGTCGGGAGGCGGGCTCAGCTTCCAACAGACTTGCTCTGTGACCCAAAGAAGTAGTCCCTCACTGTCTCCGCCTCAGTTTACTGCTATAGAACGCGAATATTACTTCCTGTCCAGCCCTGGGGGCCATTATGGGAACCCAGGGGAAAAATGTCTGAATACAAACATAAATATCAGTATACATGTAAATATATATCCATCAACTCTCCTTGAATTGAAATTTAATACAATATTCCATTAACCCCATTTAAAAAGGAAGAAATAGCTGAAGCATCTAAGTATGGAAAGCACCCCCCACCACATGGGCGATTTGCAGGGTAATCATAGAGGTCAAGGCTTGGAGGCTCCACCACCCAGATTTCTCCGGGGAAAGAGTGGGTGAAACCCCCATTTTAGGAACCTTAGTCTCCAGTGCAGTGGGCCCATCAAGTCAAAAGAATATTCAGGGACAGTGGAGATCCTGGTGAGATTTTCAAGAGCCAGTCTATTAAAATATGCATCAATTCAGCAAGTGTTAGGTGAGCAACTACTATGGTCCACCTCCTGTGCTAGGAGCTGGAGATGCAGCAGTGGATAAGATACATGCAGACCCAGCTCTGCCTCCTTGAACCCAGGCCCTGCGCAGGCGGCCTGTGAAGGGAGAAGCAGGGAGAAGGCTCTGGCCCGGCTGGCTGAGTGCCGCGGCAGGTCCCTGCAGGGCCAGGGCGAGGCACCGACTCCAGCAAATCCTGTCCGATGCCCTCCTCGTGTCGCTGAGCGGGAAGCCGTGCCGAGACACGGTCAGAGCTCTCGGGAAGGGCAGCGCTTCGAGTCCAACAAAGTGGTTTAATCTCTTTGATATAAAAACACAAGTGGAGAAGGAATAAAGAGGCAAAATCAAAGGAAGTTGGGTTTTAAATGATACATTCATGAATGTCACAGCTATTTAAATGGACGTACGTGTTAAGAATCCCAACCCCTTCCCTCCCGGGCGAGGAGAACTCTACGTCCTGTGCGCTAGAAAGTCAAGAGTCATGAACGCAGCGGCTTGATAGGAACTGCTCTTGGGTGTCTGCAGGATTCCCGAGAAGAGCACTGGGCTGGGAGTCTGGTCTCAGACTCAGTTTCCCGTAGCAGACATCCTTAACAATCTTCTTTCTTTCTTTTTAGAAAACTAGAATTTACCGGCTGCAGCACAAACACAGTCAGGACAGTGACGTGAGGAAGGGCGTGGAGGAGGCAGGAGGGCCCGGCCGGGCTGCTCTGGCTCACTGCGGGTCAGAGAGGAGGGCTTGGAGGCAGGCTCCGGGGTTTGCCGGGGACAAGCCGCCACTGCCCACTGCTGTCTGTCTCATATGTGCCGGGCCAGAGTCTGCCTTCCCTGAGGTCTGGGCTACGGGACGAGGTTGGAGGGAGAGTAATGGAGAAGGTACACTCACGGCTCATACCGAGAATTTGTATACTGTTCTGTATGAATCTAGATCGTTGTCCTGGTTGTTAAGACATGAAAATACTCCAAGCAGGCTGGCAAATAGGTTGCCCCAATGCCCTCAGAGACCCTCCAGGTTGGCAGGAAGTATGAAAGGTGTTATTACAAAGTAAACTGACGAACAAAATAGAACCAGAGGCATCGGTACATTGGAGCAGACTGACGGCTGTCCGAGGGGAGGGGGCAGGGAGGCTGGATGAAAGAAGGTGAAGGGATTAGCAAGGAACAGGCATGCATAACCCATGGGCACAGACAGCAGTGTGGTGATGGCCCGGGGAAGGGGGAGGGGCCGAGGATCTGGGCGGAGAGGGACAAAGGCAGGGAATGGGGACATCTG